ATCTTGACAAGACACACCTTATCTACCTCCACATCGAAGCCCCGCTCCACCTTGAGTGTGACAGCAGACTGTAACATGCAAATGGACAGGAGACTAGATGTGGCCTTTATCTTAGTCTTCTGACTCCAGATCAGAGGATAGTCTGTATTCCAACATTACTGTCCATTCCTAAGACCACTTCATTAAGTCCGGCCAAAGCTGCCTATTTCACAGTCAACAAAGCATCCTGTGCTGCCCGTGACTTCTGGGAACTGAGATGACAGGAGATGGTCCTGGGGTTGTGGTCCCCTGCTCTCTCCTTTGCTGTCCAGTGCATCCCTCACTCAAGTGATAAGTGAGTTGATACTTTAGGAGACGATTGATCTGAGTCATTTCTTATGATAAGGTATAGTTATGTCTATGATCTGGAGGAGAAGAATAGCTATGTCAGGGAGACCTCTCTCCCTTGTACGATAGCTATGATCCTAAGGTGACTCACTAGGTCACTGTTACCATTTACTTCTGGGATCTTCTCTCAGTTCTGGACCAGTCAAACTCACATCATAGTAGATGGGGGACCCAGCTCCTAATGCACCCCTGAGACTGCATTGTCACTGGTATCACAGGACCAGAGGGCCCCTCTCTCCCAGGGCCAAAGACCATGCAGTTGCCATTTTGAAATTCTGGGACTGCCTCTGCTGTCACTATGCAGGCTTGCTTTCAAACTCTGGGATGTCTATTGTGATTCTTCAATTAGTTACCACTAAGAACTCCACATAGCACCTGTCCCTTCCACACATGCCTCAATGTCACAGATTGTCCTCAGTCTTGACATAGAGAACATCTATTTGGTCACACTTACCATTCATATATTGTCCATGGGAACTTTAATTTACAAGAGCAGAACTGAGCCTACACTTTAGCTATTGAAAGTAGAATCTATGGTCCATAAGCCTCTCCTCCCAGAAAGGACTCTGGTATCTCTGAGAAGAGGTTCTGTTGTGGACACTGGGCCCAGGAGCCCATCTTTTTCCTGGCTGGCAGGTCTCATATAGTTAAATATCAATTTCTGGCAACATATAGCTCATTGACTGATGTGGAATTCCCCTCTGTATGCTATGAGTATGTTTTATGATAATACACAAATTAATAAATTGAGTTAATTTAAAATGTAAGGGATAACTAAAAATATGCTTAAGCTATTGCCCCAAATGTATTATAATTAACAGATTCTCTGTGTGGTGATTTTGTATCTGGGCAGCCAGGAAACAAACAAGCAGCTTCCAACAACACCTGACCATCTGTTTGCCTGTAGAATCTGTATGTTCTGTCACTTTGGGGGCACACACCCCAATCTGAGGTCAGAGCCTGGGTTACAGACAACTTACAAATCATCAGAACTTTTGTTCCTTTATAATGCTGTCCCCTGATCACTCCACTTTGGTCTACCACATCAGGACATTTCTGTCCATGTTTACCGACATCCGATTTCAGGAACACCATTTGCAATCCCCAACCCTTGCCTTGCATAGTTTTCATCCCTGGGATTCTGGAGAGGCCCATGTCCTTCTCTCTGGTGTTCGTGCCCATTTTTCTCTGCAGCTCCAGGAAATGAGGACACTCCTGGGTCAGAGATGCTAGGTAAGGGAGAAGGGCAACCCCCTTCACTTTCTCTAGGATAAAATTTCCTCAACCACCTGGGAAAAGTAAATTTCTGGGAGTCAAAAGTCTTTGTCTCTCCCTGCTAGACAACTTTCAACACATATGACCACTATGTCCCTCCTGGATATGTCTCACTTCTGGGCATCTTATCTGACTGTGATCTGTTCACATAATAACCTGGTGGGAAAGAGCTCACCTCATGCTGTCTGCATGAGGCCTGATGGGCCTTAAGAGAGTTCAGGACCACAGGCTCCCTATTCGCAGGGCCAAGTAGCAAGTGAGAAGTCACAAAGACATGGAGTGTCCTTTCCCTGCTGCAGGGGGATCTTGCTGGCTGCAGCTCAAGCAAGGTGATTCTCCAGTTAGACACTGCCATGAGGTCTCCATGCACCATTTCCTAGAACTGACACCTTGTCTGACAGATTGTCCTGGGTACAATGGAGAGGCAGAGAACTCAGTACTGCTCAGTACAGGAGGCTGGGTGCCTCAGCAGTGGCAATCTGACAGTGAAAGCTGGCAACTGCTGACATAGAGCCATGGCCTTGTCACTGAGAACACCTGTGGTGGTGGCAGCAATAGAGGCACTTCCTCTTTGTGGTGACCTGGGATGGAGGGTCTTACTGTAATACACTGTTCCCTCTGGAAATACTCCCACAGACACAAAACATCCCATTCATTCTCCATTTCTGCAAAGCCAGTCAGGCTGACAACAGAGACCACCGTCACTACCCCTTACAGTTCTGTCCTCTGTGTTTTCACTTACAGTGCCTTCTATAGAGTAAACACAGCATGGAGGCAACACTGACATGAAAAACACACACTGCACTACAGATACCCTACAGCCTCGCCCACCGCTGCCCTACTGTGCCCTGAATGAGACTGCTTATTCATTTCCCAGATGTCCAAACCTGAATAATCACACAAAACTATATCAATTGCAACACTGTTTGGTCAATGACTTAGGGGTATTCCTTGCATGCCAAATTAACCAACTTCTATTAATCTCTTCATTGTCACAAGGCGGTGTCTTACCAATAATGTTATGGCGTTCTTCTTCAGCAGCTACATGGTGTCCACTTGACTCCGCCTACTCTCTTTCTATATCTCTGTTTACATTTTTTGCCTGGTCTATATTCTGCCCTGCCTAAGGCAGGGCAGGTAAAGCCTTGATAAATTCCAGTGCCTTCTGCAGAGACCTAGTAGAAGGCACCGACTCTGTTATGTCTCTGTTTTTCCTGATTCTGTTGCTAAAGATTCCTGAGGCTCAGCTGCAGGTAAGTGAAATGAATGACCAAAGTGTGTGGAGTCCTGAACAACAGTGTCCTCACCTCTCAGGTCATGGTCACAATCTCCGTGTGCCCAAGCACAATGGGGACATCAGTCCACTGGGAGGGAGGAGCAGAGCCACAGGCCCTGGAGGGACCCCGTAAGAGATGTAGAAAAAGATGGAACTAGGAACCTGCATAGCTTTGGCATGGGTAGGCTTGAATTCATAGCCCAGGTGCTCAGAATTTTTGCAAACTTTCAGGAATGAATCTCTGCCTGGGCTCTTCTGCAAACCAAACTGAAGTTTGCACAATTCTCTCCGTAGCTCCCCCTGTTGGCGGCCCGGCCTCAGGAAGAAATCATGGCAAAGGCTCTGACCTCAGTGCACAGTAACTCCCAGCATCTGTGCCTTTTGGTTGTACTGATCTGTCTGGGGACCACTCTGCTGGCTGGTGAGTTCCCAGAGTGTCAAAGAGAGGATTACTGGGGGATGGGAACAGACCTGGTCCTAGTCTTGAAGTACTCCTAGACTAGCTCTGAACTCTTGTGTCCTTCCCCTCTTCATCACCACAGTGAGGAGATCCCTGGCTCTGCCCGGCCCTATCCCATCCAGTCTTTAGTGGATTAAAGAAGTTAGGGGAAAAGTTGTATCTGGAGGATAGAGCAGAGACTACAGGAATGAAGAGCTTGGTGGCAGAAGGAAATATCTGGTGATGCCCTTTGTACCACTGGGGTCTGCAGGATGCATAAAACCCAGTCATCTGCAGATGTGATGTGCACAGTGCAGATTCCTTCAGGATTCTCTCTCAGACAGCTCCCCTACACCTTAGGCTGCTGTACTCTGAAGACTACCTTCCCGGGGACTCCTCAGGAGCCCTTCACCATTCTGAGACTCTGTGTCCTTGAACTTTCTTTCCCACCTTGAAAGGCAATTCCCCAGAGGTTCACAACAGGTGCAGCCAGGGACAAGGCAGCGACAACCACACACATTTTTATAGTTATTTTTTGTTTTGTTTTTCTTTCCTTCTTTTTCTTGTTGCTGTTTTGCTTAAAGGCAGGATTTCACACCATAGCCCACACTACAGAATTTGCAACAATCCCTTCTCTAACCCGGTCTACCAAATGCTGG